CAATATAACACAAAAGACAGAGGTTTAAAGGATCATTACAGGGATTGGTAACAGACTATTTCCTTTTTGGAGCCCCCACCTAATCCTTACACACACACACACACACACGGGAAGGACAGGGCAAAGCCTTGTCTCACTCCAGAGATGAAAGAAGGTTGCGTCGTTGCTGCAGTATGTTGCCGTGGTAACCTCGGGCGTCACCGCAGCAACCCCAGGTAAATACAGGTAAGGAAGAAGATCAAGGGTTGGGATCATTCTAACACACTGCTTTGATGGGAACTGGACAGGTGGGCGGAAAACGGCAAACTGCAACAATTTTTCTGGCAGCTGAGACAAATTATTTGTTGATCAGATAATTGTGCGATAACACTTTTCACAATCTGTAGCAATTTTTGGAAGATGATGTGATGGTAAAGCTGTGCATGAGTGCAGAATATCCTCTGATGTGATGAATATGCTGCAGTTTGCTTGATGACATATTTGATCATTGATCAGTACAACATTGGGTGTCTAACAGAAATTGATTTTGATTGTCAGAGCTTTAGTCTCCCATCATTGTAGTCTGTATTTTACAAGAACCATATACAGGAAAAAATACTGGATTGTTGTTCATGTTTGAAAATAAAAAAAAATAAAATATATAAGACGTTTAATACTTTCAGCATAGTAAACGAATCTTTTACCAGAAACGTGTAAAAACCTATCCTTGACAGATGGACGAATAGATAAATAGACAAGCTTCATGAATACCAAAGAGGGACCTGGGTTAGTCACTAAAGTGCAAAAGAGAGACCACATTCATAAGTCCCCCACACTCGAAGAACTCCAAGAGAACATATTCTCGCCAAGGCCAACCAGCCAAGGCTAGTAAAAATTCATGAATCAAGAGAGTGATCAACCAGTGTTGTTGCTAGGTGTGGATTTCATAACATTTTAATGTCTCACTTGTATCGTCTCTTCTCAAACTCTGCACCTTTCTGTCAGTTGAAAACTTTCTGATCAAACTAAAGCAAATCAGTGCAAAAGCCTCAGTAAACAGCGCAATGCACTTCACAATGTGCTGATAAAAACCATCAGATGAGTTTCTCTATGTCCGGAGTTTTAGTAATTCTACAATCTTGAGAATACAGAATATTTACCTCAATACACCACGGTAAAATAAGCTTTGACTCTGTACTGTTGAAAAATGAGACCATAAGCTTGTTTCTACAAATGTATGGCTCTGTATGTGTTCCATGTGTCCAAGACCATGATTTGGCAGGAAATGTGCATGATGACATATGGCAAGACACAGCCGCAACTAACTTTAGTGGGTTTTTTTTATTTTTTAGTAAGCCTAGAAACAAATACACAAACTAGAAAGCACTTACAGAGCACATACCTGCAACAAGGCTGAATAATCCTCATTTGTTATTTCAGTAATGAAAAAATGTTTTAAAATTCTGTTGACTGAATCGATGGATTGATAGACAATCATGGCATACATGTGCCAGATTTCTGTCTTTCAATTTGAGGCAGTAGTTAATGAGAAAATAAAGAATATTTTACCTTGTCCCACAACTTTCCCTTGGACCAATCCGTGGACCACTGCCTAACATTCCACCACATTTAATTGAAATCTGATGACACATTTTTGGGATATCCAGCTAACAAACAAACAGACAAGGCCTCCTTGGCAGCACTAACAGGAACAGGCCATAGCTCCAGGAGATGTGCAGTATCAGCTGTTGTGATGTTTACAAAGTCCTGACAAATGACTGGAGGTCTAAGTCTGCTGGAAATAAGGTGGAAAAGGAGGGTTTTACTATTAACTTTTTGTATTTTGCTTCATTTTCTGGCTCATATACACCAAAAATCAGAGAAGACTGGACAAAAAACAGAACTGACCGGCAGCTTTGCAATCAGAATTGCTAATATTATAATAAAACCTAAATGTGCCATGACTCAGCCTAATCATGGGTTGAAGCAGCAACATTTGGCTGACTAATAGACAGACTAAACTGAGCCTGGTTCCTGATGTCCTATTCTGAAAAAAAAGCCCTCATTTATTTTTACACAAATGTATTACAGTTCCATTATTCAGTTTACATGACACCGTTACATTGTTAAAACACCTCTTCTGTTTGCACACTCCATGTGTCTACACACTGCTGCCTGTGAACGGGGGAGCAAGCGGCGAGTCAGCTCTGCAACAGCTGATGTACAACACTGCAACTGAGGGACTAGTTAAGGGGTTGCCAGAGTCATCAACCGCTAAACAGGCTCTACATTTCTCCTTTGCGGTAAAACAGCAAACACCAAGCATCTAAGCATTTGGAATAACACTAAACACGTGTGGTATAATATTCCTATTTTTAAAAATGCCAGATAATCATCTGTGCTGGTCTCTCTTGGCAAACTGACTGTTCCTGAGAAGTTAATTTCTTTTCTTCTGAACCTCTGAAATGATCAGCCTTGATAAACTCTTATTGGTCAAAGCACAAAGTCGGTAACAGAAGCTGAAAGAGCACAAACAGCAGGGGAAAAAGGCTGGTCTTGCTGCTGACTCAGCACGTCTGCCTCTTCTTCTATTTCCATAGCAACACATTCATTCTCATCTACAACCCTTAATACCTGATGTAGAGTGCTCTGTTTGACCCGTGTGACTCCTTCAATAACTGGTGTGTGTGTGTGGTGGTACTGCATTAGAGTGTCACTCAAAGACAGATTTAACTCCCTTTGCAAGACCCCTGCTCATTGTGTGCGGGCGGGGGGCACATCCACATGCGCGCGCACACACACACATCCCACTGTTAGAGGAGATTAATTCACACTTTCATCACCAAGCCTTGGTCCCAAGAGAGCCTGGAGGAGACTTGGGCAAAGTGACTGCAGGGGGTTGCAGAGGGTAATGGGTTATAGGTGTGTGTGTGTGTGTGTGTGTGTGTGTGTGTGTGTGTGTGTGTGTTCACTGGCAATAAAGGCTACATCCACTGTGGAGTGCTCTCCCCATGGGGTCCTAAAACACAGACTGGCCACCACTAAGAAGTGAGTGCACTTGTATTTATTGTGTGTTTTTGCGTGTATGTGTGCGACTGTGCATGCGATCACAGGCATGTGCTCCCGCTCTGTAAGGACAACACACTCTTTCAGCCACACTTTTTCACATACCATTTGAAATTTCTCTACATTTTCTTTACGTCCTGGTTCCAGCTTTTCCAGTGTAAGGACTGGCTGCTTTCCTCTGTTTCTTGACATTTTAAATTAAATCCCGTTGGATTTTAAACAACTGGTCACACTAATTTAAAATGTGACTTAGGCTCTATATATCTATATATCCATATATATGTTTCAATCCAAACATGTTACTATTGTTAGAAGCCTATATTGCAGCATGCCTCTCTTCAAAATTGGCCCGTAGGGACCGATAAAGTTTACTGAGTGAATTGAAATGGAGTGTTAAGTATTAGTGGAAATGTCACAGAGGGTTTGGATTCCTGTTCATCGCCATGAATGAGTGACTGCCCCACTGCACGGAACTTCATCACACCAAAGCGCTCCACTGCTTCAATCAATGGCTAGCTTGCCTGATAAGTCTTGTTGTGGTGAGTACTGTGGGCTGATGGTTATGCCTTTGTTAGCCTGATAATTCATTGCATCCCTCTTACTGAGGGCATCACTTAAACTCAAAGAAAAAAGCCGCTGAGGGCAAACATGAACACACCTGCCCGCGACCACCCTCATGCACTCCCACTCTGAGAAATCCCATTGCATTTATCAGTAAGCCCACAACACAAGCTCACCTTAGACAAATACAGTTTATCCGTATTAACAAGTCACAGCATGAAGTATTGAGACTGGAAATCTCGTCTTTCTTTAAAGGAAAACAACCTGTGAGTGAGGTGAGGTCAAGTATATTTTTTTCTTCTTTAAAAAATGTCACATAAATCCAGGGGTTCTTTATGAAAAACTAGGTATTTCTATCTCACTGCACAGGGATTTTGGATCTCAGTTGGAGACAAAATGACAAAGTGAAGATTATATCACATTTTCTGTCTGATTGCCACATTACAGCCACATCACTCAACATCTCAGCCATGAGACAATGCACTGAATTCATTACATAGCAGGTAAACAAGGCTCTCCATTCCTCTCCTATTAAGCTTGGGTTATGAAACCTTACACTGCTGCAGCCCCTGGGCAAGTGGGCTTCACCAGGAGGACTATGGGTAACAACTGTATCACAGACAGGTGACCCCCTCAGTCTGTATGTCTCTCCTCTTCTCTCGCTCACTCGGTTCACTTTAATTATACCTCAGTGGCAACACAGGAAAGGCGCCCTCATTATGCAACCTAAGTAGTGTCACTTCAGGGAATATCACTAGCACAACTGGTAATAATTGAGCAAAACAATCAATAGACAACAATATACAACCATCAATAGATATTTGTGTCATCAGCAACAATATGACAAAACCACAGCAATGCACTTCTGCTCTGGAGAAGCAATGTCTTTCTATTCTCTTTCTCTGTCTTCCATGTTCCATAACTTGGACGCTGTTACCAAGTTTGTTACTCATCCTTGTTATCAAACAGTCCATGTTGCAATCACTGCGTGAATAATCAGAGCACAGTCTATAAATTTGCATCTATATAAGCATAAAGCTGCTGGATATCTGTGCAGGCAGCATGCTGAACACACTGTTCCCAATTTCCAGCAAACATCAGAGATAAACAGTGGGGAATTGGTCCGTACAATGGTCCTCAAAATCCTCTTCCACCAAATCCTGCTGCTATAGCCTACTGAGCAGCAGCGTACAGTGGGAACCAGTCTTTAAAGTTGTTGTTATGTTTCGTGTATGCCGAATTGAAAAGGGGCTACTTGAAAATCTTGAAGTCGTATTAGAGGAAGTGTGCGAATAAACAAAAGGTTCATAAAACGTGGAAACATTAAAACATAGTTTGGGTGTTAAGTGTTCCAGAGAGAGAGAGAGATACATTGACACAGGAAAGTAACCAACCTTAACAGGGGAGCTCCTGATGGCTACGGGCAGCTCTCTGATCGCACTGCCCGGGGGAGAAGCGGATATCCCGGCTGCGTACCCCTGCAGCGAGCCCCCAGCCAGGGACTGCCTGCCGCCTGCTCCTACTCCTCCTCCGCTCCCTCTCTGGGGCCGCTGCTTGATACCGTCCAGGAGGCGAACCAGAAGGATGTTAGCCGGCAGGTCGTCCACCCCGCAGTCCACCAGGATGCGACACTCCGGGCAGCGGAGCTCGTTCCGGGAGCTGACAATGTTTTCCAGGCAGCGGCGGCAGAAGGTGTGCTGGCACGGCAGCACCTTGGCCGTGGTGTCCAGGCGCTCCAGGCACACCGAGCACTCCAGCAGATCCAGCAGCGACGAAGACTCGTCCATGTCGGCGGAGAGGGTAAGCATCTGGGCTTCAGTGTCCGTGGGGACGCCGCGGCGACTGGTTCGTGTACCGTAGAAATGGACCGGGGGCACAGAACATTCTGGGAGGCAGCCAACGGACGCCCCGCGACAGTCCCCGTGCGCCGAGCAGTTTACCCCCGTGTTGTGAATGTTCTCCGCTGTTCTCCACCTCTCTCTCTCTGTCTCCCCTCAACGTGTTTCTGTTTCTCGCTTTCTCTCTCCCCTCTGTGTGTCTCCCTCCTCCTCCTCCTCCTCCTCCTCCAGCAGCTGTGCAGAAAAGCAGTGAGGTCACGCTCTCATCATCATCATCATCCGCGCGCCGATCAGAATTGCGGCGCGCGCTCACGCACCGGAGACAGATTGATACAGACTGTGTGTGTGTGTGTGTGTGTGTGTGTGTGTGAGAGAGAGAGAGAGAGAGAGAGAGAGAGAGAGAGAGGCAGCTCCACCAGCCAGCTCAGTTATTATCAGTCAGGGTTTTTCTCTCTTTCTTCACACCTTCACACGGAGACACGGGGCTGGTGTCACACCTTTCTAACACACCTGAGAGGTTGCTGAAAGGTTTTCTGTCACCTCACCCGCTCACAAAGACAAGCCAATGCAAGTACCATGGGCAGTCAGTGAATTCGGGCGTCAGTTCTGCTCAATCCTCTGCTGTGGTATTCAGTATTTTCACCTAAAGTCTGAAGCAGAACGGAACATTTAATGTCTGTGCTTCAGTATGGTCTTAGACAGTTTCCAAACAGATGTCAGGTTTGTTTTGCGCGTAGAGACCAAACGCCAAATGAAACTGAACCTGACTCGGTCTCAATTTATGGGGAGACTTACCTTCTGACACCCACCTGGCAGGCACAGACTTCATTTTCATTACCTCAGTAACTACATCCAGCTGAAAAACGGAGCTTTGGGAAAAATTGGTTTCTGGCGACGCCTGGTGGCCAACAGCTGATCTTTTTTGTTTCTCCTGGTTTGAACAATTGTAATCTCCATAAAGTTAAATTTTTACTGAAAATGTCTTGTAATTTCCCATTATAGTGGCTTCCAAGGAGTCCCCAGAAAAACTACTAGAATATTTTTATTTTTATTTTTTTTTCATTTAATTGGCTAAGATCACTATTCTGTGCATAGGTTTCACAATCTTCACATCGACCAGTTATGGAATAACTAAATATCACCAGACAGAGATTCCTGATGACTACATCTTATCAAATACCGGTCAGCAGCCTGATGTGTATCAGTTTGGGGATTCTTGACACCAAAAAGGCTGAGAATCACTGAACAGACTACAAGACACACTGAGGATGTGAATGCAAATAAATCTTTACAAAAAAAAAACAATTATTCTTGCACCTGAAGGGATTATATAGGATTATTGTAGTCAAGTGAAACCATATAAAACAAACAAAATATTCAATTATGAAATATCTTCAGATGAATTTCCAGTGGGGGAAGCAGAAACTGTGTACATCATGTTGTATATCCCAGAAACAATATTAACAGCTATAGATAAGATGAAGGTAAAAACCGCAGCACTTCCTCTGAGTTATTCCTTGAGGATAAATTCTGCTATGTGCTACGTGATGGACACAACGCACTCAAAGGACAAGGAGGACGAGGGTGTGTGTGTGTGTGTGTGTGTGGGTTGTTTCTCAGCCGTGACTGCAGGCTTGCTTTGCCTGTCCACCTGTTCAGACCTGCTCTTCTCTCACATTCAGCCCTAGAGGGGTAGGAGGGAGTGATTGAGCCAAATGTGTGTGCATGTTTGTCCCTGTGTGTGTGTGTGTGTGTGTGTGTGTGTCAGTGCGTATATGTGTGACATACTGACGCCTTCCTGGGCGAGGGGTGGGCCCTGCTATTTACCACCCACGACGAAAAGCTGAGGGTGGACTGCTTAGACATACAATGAGAAAGAGGGAGGGAGAGTGAGTGTGTGTGTGGGTGTGTGTGTGTGTGTGTGTGTGTGTGTGTGCTGTGAGCAACCCACAGCATTTACATTGATTATTCAGATACTGAAAGTGTTGTGTTCTGTAACAAAGCCTGCTTAGTACGTACTTACTGCTACATAAGTCATAGTATTGCAAAGATATAGTTATTTTATCTGATAATGACAATATTGTGCTATTTACACACACACACATACACATTTTGAGGCTGGATAATGGTTCAGACACTGACAATGAATTGTTGAAATACACATTATGTAATGAAATCTGGCCAAGGGATTGAACTGAAGACTGAAGTGTTAATTAATTTACTCCTGCAGCCCATGGCCACATGTGTTCTACAGCTACTCAAATCAAAGGAGCATAAATTAAATCAAAGTAGGCCCCAAAATCCGAAGAAAAGAGCTCTACTCATAACTGAAAAAAACCTTTCTAAAATCAAGTGAAGGTCAACTTGAAGACATTTTTGCTCAGCTGTGAGACGAAGCTCCCCTTGGGTTTCCTCTACAGAGACCTGCCATTTCTTATAGGCCTGTTTGCATCCCCATGGCTGCAGAACATTGCAATGCTTCAGTAATTCAGCCACTATAAAAAAAAAAAACGTGTATTGTTGTTGTTGTTGTTGTTGTCAAGCCCTGATTTTGAATGCCTCACTAGTGCAGCGGCTGACAAGTTCTGGCAACCAGCCCAAACTCATGGTGTCTCTCTCTCTCTCTCACTCTTTATCATACCCACTCATGTCTCATGCCCAGTGTTTTTAATCTGCCTAATACAATTCTCAGCCAATGATTCAGAATTAGAGGGGAACTACAGGGAGAAGCGAACAAAAAATGATTATTGGGTGAAAATCCCCTCAATCCATTTAAGCAGCATAGTCAGGGCTCCCTGTAGGACGCAGTGCTGTCAATAACAAACAAAATGTGGATGCTGCTTCAATAGTAGACGTGTCAATTAGGGATGGTAACTAGCATTGTGGAGATACAAGTGTACGTCCAAGTCCAGATGGCAGTTTTTTTCCCATTTCCCCTAAGAAAAGCTGGTATTGCATTCATTCTGGTGTCCAGTTTTCTTAAATCAAGGCAAGGTGAGATAGGCCTCCTATCTGTTATCTGTTTCCATAAGTTTTATGCTCAGCATTTTATTTTGAGGCATACTTTACTGCAATATTTAGCCTTATTGCTGCGATAAACACACAAACTAAATGTAATTGTTTTAATTAAATGTAATTATTTTGTAAATTAACATTGTCCTTTGGGAAATTCTCGTGGTGATGAACTATGATAATAAACTTGACTTGACCTGACACTGCATTCATACTCCTAATTTTTATGGCTATTTCCTTCTAACTCAAAGTTTCACAGACCTTCATTATCCTAGTCTTTATCAATAATATCAATAATCTCATTCTCTCCCTTTCCATCATGCCTCTGCAAACACAAGAGTTCTTCCATGAATTCCTCTGGGGAAAGATTAAATCTAGTTTGCCTGAGCCTGATCAAATATAATGAATATGTAGTGTGTGTAGGTCTTCTGCATGTACCTATACGTACCATACACCTCTCTTCCATCCACCAATGTCGTTCGTTCATGCAAAAGTAGGTTAGCTGACACGGCAGTTACCATGGCAACCGGTTTCTCTGCTTCCTTGTTGAAGAGTAGTTAGAGACTGTGAGTGTGTTCACACAGACAATGTACATGGCGTGGATACTAACAGGGGTACTAACAAGGTCATAGAGTCAGTAGGTTTACTTTTACAATGCGTGTGTGTGTGTGTTCTTCGAGAAATCACTTGAAGTTTTCTTTTAATCGTAAAGAAGGATTACCAAGAGTGATATTTTTTTTAATGTAAAAAAAAAAAAAAAAAAGTATGACCTTTAGTTTTGCATTATGCATTATTTGTGTTTGTTCAGTGGGAAGAACTTAACATGGATTGGTTCTAATGTAACATTGAATCAGGCAATATCCTACAGGCAGTAAGCAATGTACAATTATGTTTATATTATTCCATAGAGAGTTTTTGTGCCCTCTGGTTCTAATGTACACTTTCCCACAGAGGATAGTTTAGTAAATATTAAATATCTGGAGAAAAATATCAGCTATTGCATTTTTTATTTCTTTTTTCTTTTAAAATATGGTCTAACCAAGACCATATTTTAAACTTCTCCTTTCAGTCTTTGGGGGCACATAAAGAGCATGAGGAAGTTTGTTTTTAATGATTTTGCTGCAAATTGAAGTTATCCTAACTTCATTATACCAAGTAGCAAATTAGGCTTCCACTGACTGCTATCTTCTCTGAGCTACAGTACTTTGATGTGGTGCTGAGGGAGGGTTAAAACAGGATAGCCAGTCTGTGACAGCTGAATCTCGAAAAACTCTGATCTCCAAAATTAATGCTTGTTGACCTTAAGACTTTGCAGAGACTCGAAATATATTCTGCCAACGATTAAATGTATTCATGGACTAAGAATCATAACTCCAAAACTCATTTGTTTAGCACAATTTAGCAAAAGCAGGCCCACTAAGTACAAATCAGTAAGGCAGTACGTGAAGACAACATACTGCTAGAAATGTAAAGGAAAGTAAATTGAAGTCACCTCTTCCCATATGATGCTATTTTTAGTGTTGAGAGAAAAATATTTAAGTATATGTACATATCGCTATGCGTCAATAAGACCCACAGGCTTCAAAACAACACTTACCAGATGATTTAATGGGCTTTTGGAGGTCATATTTCCATTATAAATGCTGTTTTTCTTTCCTCCTATGTTTTGTTTCCATTATCAGATGCATTCCATCTGTATTTGTTACATTACATTACATTGTTTGTTTCTTTAGTGTAGCTTACTGTTTAATGCTGCAAGAGCCAATTCATGCAATATGTAAGAGATATGTAATCCTATACCGTTTTATGTTATGCTCCCTTATCAAATAATCCCTTATCTCATCATATCTGATCTTGTTTAATCTTTTTGTCACATTATGCTTCAGCCTGTCTCATTGTATTGTCTCATATATTATTTATGTCACATTATTTCAACATATCCTATCTCGTTATACACCATTTCACCTTATGCAGAGTCAGGTGCGTGTGTTTTTGTGTTACACCATCCATCATAGTAAATACAGGTTTTGCTTAATATGTGTTTTTGTCCGGTCTGTGACAGAGCAGCCATCATTCTCTCAGCAGAACTCATCACTCTTCTTGTTATCCTCTCTTCATCCTCTCTTTATCCGCTCTTCTCATCTAATCTCTTCTCCTCTCATCCTCCTTTTCAGTCAGGAAGCCCCTGGATCGACATCAATGAGCTTCTAAAAGAAGGAGGGAGACAGGGAGACAGAGAGAAAAGGAGGAAAAAAGGGGATTGAATAAGAGAGAAGGAAAGAGATTGAGAGAAAGTGAAAGAAAAAAGGAGAGAGT